GGGGGACCCCTGCCCTATCACCGACGCCCTGTGCTCACCCGAGAGTACTTGGACATAGACCACATGATCTTCAACAGAGAGCTGCCCCAGGCTGCTGGGCTTCTCCATCACTGCTGCTCCTACAAACGCCAAGGACAGAACCTGGTGACGATGACCACAGCCCCTCGTGGTTTACAGTCAGGGGACCGGGCCACCTGGTTTGGCCTCTACTACAATATCTCAGGGGCTGGGTATTACCTGAACCCTGTGGGGTTGGAACTACTGGTAGACCACAAGGCTCTGGACCCCACCAGCTGGACCATCCAGAAAGTGTTCTTTCAAGGCCGCTACTATGGGAGTCTGGCCCAGCTGGAGGAAGAGTTTGAGGCTGGCCGGGTGAATGTGGTGGTGGTCCCAGACAATGGCACAGGTGCATCCTGGTCCCTGAAATCCCCGGTGCCCCGGGGTCTGTCTCCCCCTCTGCAGTTCCATCCCCAGGGTCCCCGCTTCAGTGTCCAGGGGAGTCGAGTGGCCTCCTCATTGTGGACTTTCTCCTTTGGCCTTGGAGCTTTCACTGGCCCAAGGATCTTTGACGTCCGCTTCCAGGGAGAACGTTTAGCTTACGAGATCAGCCTCCAGGAGGCCTTGGCCGTCTACGGTGGAAATACCCCAGCAGCAATGATGACCCGCTATATGGACGGCAGCTTTGGCATGGGCAAGTACTCCACACCTCTGACCCGTGGGGTGGACTGCCCCTATCTGGCCACCTACGTGGACTGGCACTTCCTTTTGGAGTCCCAAGCCCCCAAGACACTACACGATGCCTTCTGTGTGTTTGAGCAGAACCAGGGCCTCCCACTGAGGCGACACCACTCAGATTTTCACTCCTACTATTTTGGGGGCCTTCAGGAGACTGTGCTGATCATCAGATCTGTGTCCACCTTGCTCAATTATGACTACGTGTGGGATATGGTCTTCCACCCCAATGGGGCCATAGAAGTCAAATTCCATGCCACGGGCTACATCAGCTCAGCGTTCCTCTTTGGTGCTGCCCAAAGATTCGGAAACCAGGTTGGGGAGCACACGCTGGGCACCATCCACACCCACAGTGCCAACTTCAAGGTGGATCTGGATGTGGGAGGTAAGACATCCTGGCGGAGGCAAGGATTCAGAAGAGGAGCCTAAAGAGTTGTCTGCATTTGCTTTGAGTTTTATGGAGGTTTTCCAGGAAAGGAAGATCTGAGCCTGAGTGGTTTTGGAATTTCATGCTTCCTCTTTTGCTGGATGGGAGAGAGCTGGCTGCTGAATGTCACTGAGAGGTTAACTCACTGGCTGGGTGCAGCCCTGCCACCCTCTCTCCACTTGATCTCATCCGAAAATCTTGGGCAATAGCTCAGCTCAGGCAGGATCTGGGCTAAGGGTCCCCATTGCCCTCTTCCTTCCCTGGCACTTATATGGGCTCCATTTTAGCGAGGCAGACATTTGTTTTTCGGCTCATCTGTGTCTGGCCTGCAGTGCTGGTGTTTTGGAAGATCTGTTGGCTTTCTGCCAAGTCCCTGGCACATGTAGGCTAATCAGGGAATATCCCTGATTGTATGTTTCCTCGGAAGGTGTTCCCTCCTCTTCCCTGAGTTTCCCTCTGGGCACAATACATTTAAGTGTGAGGGGTAGAGTGACTGCTGTGGAACATTCCGGGTAGTTCCTGGAGTTGGTGGTCACATAGAGAGCCAAGGCTACATGATGTCTTAGAGGCCTTGTCATTTTTCACTGTCCTTCCCCACATTGAGTTAATCACCAGATTTTTTTCTGTTCTGCCTCTGAAATATCCCAAACTGCTCGCTAGACCCCATTGCCATCCCTCTGTTGAGCCAGTCCTCTCTTTGCCATTTTGACTATTCTTCCTCTCAGATTCAGGGCTCACTCTGCACCCAGAGGGACCTACCAGCCCATGCCAGCCTGCTCCCTCACATACCTCCCACGTTCCCCATCACCTATGGGACCCCGTCCGCAGAGGGACCTACGAAGCCCTTCCCCTCAGAGTGCAGCTCCTGCCTGCCTTTCAGATTCTACCCCAGGGCTGCGTTAGCTGCACAAACACCCTGCCTGGCCCTGGACACACACAGCGCCCAAGCCAGTCGGGCTGTTTTTCTTTTGCTGATGTTTTGGCCCTGCCTAGAATGCCCTGCCGTGTCATCTCTGCTGGTGACATCCCCTGAGGACAGGCTGAAACGTTGCCCAGGAAGGCCCCCACTCCTGCCTGCACCTGTGTTCCTCTAACCTTGAATCGTGAGCGTGCTCCTCTGGCATTGCAGGCCCCTCAGGGCTTTGCTCCTCTGTGGCTTCAGCGGGAGCAGGAGGGTAAGAATAAAGTTTCATTCACCTGTATGTCCCCCGGGCTGAGCACAGGCCTCTCCACTAATGGGTGTGAACGGATGAATGAATGAATGAAATCCTTGAAGACATATTTCACAGGTCAACAACTTTGGCTGAAAGATGGGGGATAACTTGTCAAGACGGGAGAGAAGCAGGGGGCACACTCAGTCTGGGCTTCTCTTTGGCCTCCACTCTGAAGCCAGGTAGGGGCAGAGTCCAGAGGGGGTAGGGCCAACGTATGACCAGCCCTCCCTCCCACCTTTCCGCCTACCCACCTCCATCCCATCCTTGCAGGAGTGGAGAACTGGGTCTGGGCTGAAGATATGGCTTTTGCTCCCTCGGCGGCACCCTGGAGCCCCGAGCACCAGATACAGAGGATGCAGGTGACCCGGAATTTGCTGGAGACGGAAGACCAGGCTGCCTTCCCCCTGGGAGGCACCTCCCCCCGCTACGTATTCCTGGCAAGCAAACACAGCAACAAGTGGGGCCACCCTCGGGGCTACCGCATCCAGATAATCAGCTTTTCCGGGGAGCCGCTGCCCCAGGCCAGCTCCATGGAGAGAAGCCTCAGCTGGGCAAGGTGGGTGGCACGGTGTGTTTGTTTTGTGGAGTGGGAAGGGGCGGAGAATGAGAGTGAGAAGGGAGTGCTGGGAGGGGCACTCGGGAACTCAGTTCAAATTTTATGCGAGGTGAGATAAGAACTCAAAAAGGATTTCCTGGGTATCAAAATTCGCACAGTGGATGGATACATGGCCCCCTTGGAATACTAAAGCCCAGATGGCAGAATTCTTTTCTGTTTTGGAGAGGCCATGCTGTGAAATGACAAGGGGTGAACAGGAGGACATGGAAGGATGTTGGGCAACCCATTAGGGTGGCATCAGAGTCACTGTGTGGATGAGATGGGAAAGCTGAGGTCCATGTGCTGGGCTCCCTTCCCCGATAATCAGGCGGCAGGATGGAGCTAGTGACCTGGAGGCCTGACTAGTGCAACTCTAGGTACAAGCTGGCCGTGACCCAGAGGAAGGAGACAGAGCCCACCAGCACCAGCATCTTCAATCAGAATGACCCCTGGACCCCCTCTGTGGACTTCTCTGGCTTCATCAACAACGAGACTATTGCTGGAGAGGTCGGCTGACCGCGTGGGGACTGAGGGAGGCGGGCAGGGGCCCAGAGATGAGCCCCGCCTTTTCCTGGGGGTCCCTGAAAGCCATCTATCTCCTCAAAGGCAGAGCTGACTCCTGCCTTCTGTGGATCCGATCATTACCTGTTGAGGGAATCTTCCCAAGCTGGGAGTTCACTCGCACACACTGGCTGAGGCACCAGCCTCTCCTCAAGACACTACAGTCTTCTAAGTCTCAACTTTGTGGACTTGGCCCTTTTCGGGCCCCAGGACTCAGGAGTGCTGAAAGTCACCAGGGAAGGCCACATAGCTTATATCTAAAGCTTCTTCAGTCCTGGCTTTACCACTAAAGGATTAATTTCTAAATGTCGGACTTTTCTGCTTCCCAAGCCCTGATCTTCCCTCCTCCATCCTCCTCTCAGTTAGAGTTTAGGAACTCTCTCACAGAGTTAGGGGAGAGGAGCTAAGTAGCCGGTGGGTGTCATCATTCCTCTGGGGGTGGGTAGGCTGATGGAGATGCTATGGGGAACATCAGAGATGGTGGGTCTGGGCTGGGACTGGGGGCAGGTGTGGCTCCCAATATGAAATTGACTATGCCTTGACTTCTGGGCTAGTAGGAAACATGTTTAAAGAGTTAAAATCCTGAGGGAAGGTGGGCTGGCAAGGTGAATCATTCCATACAAGGCCACTGTGGGGGAGGGGGCAGGTGTGTCTTTAGCAAAGCCAGGCCTTATAATCCTTTTTCTTCGCCCCCTGCTAGGACCTGGTGGCCTGGGTGACACCTGGTTTCCTGCACATCCCGCATGCAGAGGACGTCCCCAACACAGTGACTGCAGGGAATGCCGCAGGCTTCTTCCTCAGACCCTACAACTTCTTTGACTACGACCCCTCCTTTGATTCTGCTGACTCTGTCTACTTCCGGGGGGACCAGGATGCTGGGGCCTGTGAGATCAACCCCCTGGCTTGCCTTCCCAAGGCTGATGCCTGTGCCCCCCACTTCCCTGCCTTCTCCCACGCAGGCTTCGCTCATAACTAGGTGGGCCCTGGGATGAGGATTTTGACTGGGGCCCTTGGACCAGGAAGTGTGGGAGGGGAGGCAACAGGCACTGGGCAGGGCAGCCTGTGCCCTCTTCTCCCTCCTCACACCCCAAGATCCTCTCTCTCCCATTGTCCTCCCTGCCTCCCCCTCCCTGCTGGGAGCATCCTGAGCCTGTGACACCTGACACAGGGGGCACTTGGCTTTGTGGACCCCAGACCTGGTGGGTTCCTGTCCCTGAGAGGAGAGGAGTTGCCAGTCGGGACCGTGGAGTGATGAGGGTTAAGCTTTTCCCAGAAGACTCCTGTTTATGGTTTTGTTTGTTTGTTTGTTTTATTTTGGTTTTGCTTTTTGGCTGTCCCAAACCTTTTTAGGACATCCCAATTCTCTCCTAAGACTCTCTAGTCCTTCCCTTGGGAGGCAGGGAAGAAGGCTCTCTATGGGGATAGCCCCCTAGAGGCCCCAGGGCAGGGTTCCTGCCAGGCCTATAACGCCATGAATAAAGCTGGAAGAGGCCCCTTGGCCCATGGTCACTCTCATACTAGTCTTCCTTGTCTCTCTCTTCCTTCTTGCCTAACCATCTCCTGTTCCTACCTGTCCTTATATCCTGGGATTTCTCTCCCAGCCCTGAAGGGATGTTCCTCTGCCCTGATGCTCCCCTAGCCCTCATTTCTTAACTCTGGTCTCTTCTCCTGGCTCTAGGCCTGTGGAAGTCTCAATATGCAAGGTACATCTAGTTTGAGAGGACGCCTGTCTGTCTCCCTGTGTCTGGGAGCTGCCCTTACCCCCAGTCCTGGGGCAGGGTGTGTTTCCCCATAATTTTCTCTGCCCATTTGTATAGCCCTGCCTTGCATTCTCTGGGAGAGGATGAATAGAGTCAGCAGCAACTCAACTTAGCACTTTAAGTGGATTTGTGGGTGCAGTGGTAATGTGGAGTGGTCATTTTGTGCCAGGTCTGTGTGTGACCAATGCCCTCTGTACTCTGTAACAGCCAGCAAGGGAGGCTGGGTGGGCACCAATTGTGAGAAGCAGGAAGAACCAGGAACTCCAGTCAGGGGGCCAGGGGCTGTCCAGTCACATGTGGGCATGCAAATAAGGCCAGCCTCTGGGGGAGGAGCCTCTCCCCATCACTGTCCTGGTTTGAGGCAGGGGAGGAGGGTCTGGGTTAGGGATTGGTATACAAATAGAAAGAGATTGGAAACAGCAGAACCATCCTTCCCTAGAGGATTGGTTAAATAAATTCTGATACAGCCTTAACAATGCAATACTATGCAATTATAAAACTAATTACATCTCTTTATAGGGAATCATCTTCCAGTGAAAGGGGCAAGGTGCAGAACTGTGTATAGGGTACTTCCATTTGTGTATTAGAAGGGAGGATAATACAAATATTTTCCTATAGATGCATATTCAGAAGAAACAGGTAACACAGGTTGCCTCTGGTGAGGGAAACTGGGAAGTGGGGACCAGAGAGAGAGGAGACTTAGTATTATAAATCCTTTTGTACATTTTGAATTTTGAACCATAATTTTACCTATTCATTTATTATTATTCAGATAATAAATGGGCCCAAACAAGAACTATTTTTTTCTTTTACGGACGGGTCTTAAAAAGGGGTGAGGTAGGGGAGGGTAAAGTGAGTTAAGAGATGGGCCTAGGGACTCAATTTTCTCATTTTTGAGACCCAGAGAAATGGGTGTGGCCTCTGATAACTCCTTTGCCTTCTCTTGAGTGTATATCTCCAGGGAAAATATTAAACTTCAGTCAATCTCTCTTTTGCTCTGTCTCGTGCGCTCTCTCTCTTTGTTTCTCTCAGAAGAGGGGACAAGGGGAAGCAAAGGGGAGGGGTGACTTCTGCCTGCTGGGAGCCCAGGCCAGGCTAGGAGGTGCCATGCAGGGACCAGATTTTGGATGCTTCTCAGCTTCTGCCCAAAGGGAGATCACATCCAGGGAGAGCAGGCATCACGGAAGTTTCTGCTACCTTCTGTCCTGCCCCAAGTCCAAGTTCACTTCTGGGTCAGTGGAACAATGGATGGAGACGAGTCAGTAAGCTGGAGAGAAACCAGGTTCCAAAGAACAGGGAGAAAGACTTCAGTAAGGAGAGAGGGCCAGGGATGGCTGGATGAATTTATAACATGGCCTGGGGTAGAAGCAAGAGTGACAGAGGACAGAAAGAGATTTAAGATAAGGAGAGACTGAAGAGTGAGACAGAGGATAAAAAGGGATGTCATGACCAACGTGGCTCTCATACTGACTTGATACTACTTCTTTCTATGACCTGAGTAGTTTACCTTCTCCATTACATGCCTTTTGTTTCCACCTCCTTCTGGCTCCTTTTTATGGTCAGTTGCACAACAGTCAGCTGGAGGGAAAAGGAAAAAAGGAATGCTGGTGTCCACACCTCCCCCTACCCCGATTTAATAACTTGAAACTCCTTGTCTTGTAACCCATCTCCAGACCCAAGAGCGTGAGTGTTTGCAAGTGGTGAGTGTGCATGTGAATGTATGTGAAGGCTCGCTCACAAGCCTTGATCTGAAAAAGGGACTGCGGTTATGTCTCTCTACATGTCATCATGGGGATAACACCCCTGTTCCAGGCCTCAGTGGACATGGAGATCATGAGATCGTTAGCCCCGCTGGGGTTTAGAAGGCTTCAAGTTGGACCCCCAGCCCCCTACTCCACCCACTCTCTCCCTTAGACCCCTGAGGCTGGTTGGACTGTCTGCCTCAGACTTGTGGTCAAGCGATAGGCGGGAATAGTGACCAAAGATTTGAGGTTCTAAAAGAACTGGTGTTCCCAAGGCCAGAGATCTTTAGGACTTGCTCCCATTGCCCTCCTAAGAGGAGATGGACAAGGGGCCGCCCGAGGCTAGGTCAGGGGCATAGCTGGGACTTCTCCAGGAATGTAGACACAGGGAGTCCTTGTGAGGAGCACAGGATGTGCTCACCTGCCTCTGCTCTCCTCCTGCAGCACCTGGGAAAGTCTCCCTCTGCAGTGGAGGAGAAGGATGCCTACATGCATTCAATGATGATTTCCCAAGTGCCTCCTACCTGCCAGGCACCTTGGGAGGGGCTAGAGGGACAGGTAAAGGGACAATTACATGAGGGACTTTCAGAGGGGAGGCGGGAGGTAGCAGGGGCTCCGAACCCAGACTTAAGGATGAGGAAAGGCTCCCTGAGGGACATGATGTCTAAATTGATCCTGGCAGAAGAGTAGAAGTTGGCCCCGGGAGAAGGAAGAGAATGGAGAGAAGGTTCTAAAAAGAGGAAACAGCATCTTCAAAGGCCAGGAGGTGACACAGTGGCACCATACAAGTACCCAAGTTCGTTGACAGGTGGGTGGGCTGTGAGGGGAGCCCCGAGGGGCAAACAGAGGGCAGAAGAGGCAGGTCCTTGCTGCCATGGCTGCCCTAAGGAAAACAGGGAGCCATGGAAGGATTCTCACCAAGGGAGTGACAGGGTCAGAGTTGCTTTTGAGGACATTCCCTCCGACCCAGGTACAACGAATAGAGTGGACAGATGGCTTAGCCACAGGGCGGTGGGTCAGAGGTGAGAAATGACGGTGGCCGGAATGCAGGGGGAGGCCGGCAGAGGACTCCCGTGGGAAATCTGGCCTGAGGAGGCCATGCTTGCAGAGAGCCGGGATCAGAACCCCACATGCAGCTGCCTCCCTCCCCACTTCCCACCTCTGCTGTGGTCACAGACGAAGTAAAGAAGGATCCCTAGCCACTGACTCTGGTCTTTCCCGCTGTGCAGCCCATGACCTCCTGAATGGAAGAGCATTACTGTATTTAATGATCACTTACCGCTTGGGACAGTCACTTGCTGATTAAAGTACAATTCCACCCAACAATCAGTCCCCTTGGTAGTTAGCGTGGTGACGGCATAACTGGTTAGATGATCCTTGCAAACTTTATGCAGTGCACAGTGGGTTTGGAAAAAAGTGAAATCCCTAAAAAAAAAAATGTGTCTGAAGCCCTCCTGACAGCTTTTTTGAATGGTTTTGCAGTGAGGATGGGCTCATTAATTCTACAGCCTCCTTACCCGTTCTAAGGGGAAACCCACCCCTTCTGGCTCCTCCTAGAAAGTTCTCTTTCAGTTATCCACTCATATCCCCGTACTTTAAATCTCTCCCTCTTGACTGGCTCTTCCTCTCAACTTTCTAAGCTTCTCCCAGGACCCTACCTCTCCTGGCCGGGGGTCTTCTCTCAGCCTGTGCCCTCCAAGGAATGTTCTTTCTACCCCTCCTGGGCCTGCTTCCTTTCCTCCCACCTCTGTCACTCCTCAACGCCCTGCCCTCCCTCTGCTGACCCACAAGCCACAGGCCCTGCTCTGACAAAGGTCACCAGTGATGTCCAGATGCAAAATCCGCAGGCCTTCCCAGCCTAGTTTCTGGACCTCTCGGTGGCATTTGACTACTCACTTCTTAAACGCTCTCCTGTCTTGACCTCCCCACATTCTGACTCCTCCTCATCCATATTTGCTGCTTCTCGGGCTCCTGTGCTGGCTCCTTGCCCTCTGCTCTGCCCACAGGTCCCCTCAGCCCCACACCTCAGTATTTTCCAGGACTCTGTCCCTGGCCCTCCTGTCTCCTCTCTCCGGAGGTCCTCTCTGGGTGAGCTCAGGCTCTCCTTAATTCATGACTAATATTTGTTGTTTTGCCCAAGTCTGTATTTCTAGCCTAGAGGAATCTCTCTCCTGAACTCCTAGCCCATAGAGCCCATGGCCCTTTTTTCTGGGCATCTGTGCTGGGGCTCCCCCTAGCACCTCAAACTCAAACTTGTTGGTTTCCCCTTTAAACTCACTGCTCTCCATGAAGGTCCAACTAGTGAGAGCCTCTCCCCACCCCAAGTCACCCAATGGGAAACCTTTGTGTCTTTGTGGTGTCATCTAAGAGGCTGTGCCCTGACTCACCCACCCACCCAATCAGGCACTGAGTCCCGTCTACTCCGCCTGCAACATCTGTCCAGACTCATCCTTTCCTCTGTGTCCTCAAGGCCACTGGCCTCACCCTGGCCCTTTGCCTCCTGCCTGGTCTCCTCGACTCTAGTCTGTCCTATACCCAAGCCCTGCTCCGCGCCTCAGCCAGAGCCATCTCCCTGGAATGCGGATCAGAGTGGAGTGACTGGGTATACGGAGGGGGGGGTCCCACTGGCTGCACACGGTCTCTACGGCAGCAGGTCGGTTGAAGCACCACGTCCTGGGGCTCAGTCTTCAACCTGCAGGCCAGGAGTGGGCTCTGGCTCCCAGGGATAAGCTCATCTTCAACACATTCGTAGAGGCTGGGGCCAGGTCTGTCCAAAGAGAAATAAGAGCTAGTTAGGGGAGTAGGGTGTGTGGTCCTGTCTCCTAATTCTTCAAAAGAGACGCCTTTTCAACAAGTTTTCAGAGTGTTTGACATGATGATTGTGAAGCCCAGGATGAAATGATGTCAGAAGGAAACAATGTGACAGTGAAACACTTAGGGAAGGTGGTCAGAGGAGGCGCCTTCTTACATCCTCATCCCCTCACCAGTCAAGGCAAAGGCTCTCCCTCCTACCACCTGATCATTGCCCACTTCCCATCTGACAGCCTGGCATTACCCAACCAGAGCAAACATTCATGACCTTTGCTTGGTAACACTGGTCAGGACAAAAAACACTAGCCATCTTAACATTGTGTTCTTGGCTGGGAGCAAAGACCATAACTTACCAAAGGCCCAGATTCATGTTCCCAGGCTGGAAAAGCTTGCCTTGTGGCTAGGGCTGGGCCTTGACCTTAGATTCTACTCCTCCTTATTATGAAACCCAAATGGCTCATTCAAATTGAGATAGGCTGGGACCTGGGACCCTCTACCGGAGTGTCTGCTCTTGTACCTGGACAAATGTCTCCGGGAGCAACAGAATACAAAGGAACTATAACGGCTTAAAAATAACTGCATCCATGCATGAGCACTCAGGGCAATTATGAACAATAAGATACAAAAAGGTCACAAACCAACTGCCACTTCTGAGGTGCCAGAGCAAAAGTAGGGGACTGTGCATGATGCCTGCACACAGCACCAAGGGGGTGGACAGACCACCTAAGCCACCCCTGGAGCCGACCCACCGAGCCACCCAACCCTCACCTCATTTAAGGGAACCAGTCCAGCCTCCACAGAGAGCAAGCAAGGGAACCTGTCTTTTGTCTTTGCTCCCTCCGGCTGCAGCACGAGTCCCTTACCTGAATTTCTCATGTGGTCTCTTATCAATTTCTATTGATTAAAGAGTCCAAGAACCTGGGTCGGTTACAAAATGACCCCTTATGTTGAATTTCCATATCAAAGTATAACTGATTGCATAAATGAGCTGATATCTGGATAATCTGACCTTTCTGGTGTTGATTTACCTGGTTTAACTGGTTCTAAGATTTCTTAACTTTTCCTGCAATTAGTACTTTGCTTAAAACACAAGGCTTCCCGACCTGCCTGCCTCCCCTCCCACCTCGCACCAAGGACACTGACCTTTTGGCTGTTCCCTGCCCATGTCAATGCTGTTTCAACTTTCTGTACCTTTTCACCTTCTGTTCTCTTCAGCTGAATATCCAGTCTGTTCTCCCCCAGGCCCATGCATCTGTCTATCGTGGCTTCCTGAAGGAATGTTCCTGGACGTGTCCAGGTTAGAAAGTCTTCTCCTCCAGGATCATAAAGGAAAGCATGTCCCCTCTCTGGAACCCTCAGTTTCTCTTAGTTCTGGACCTGGCTGCCCAGAGAGTGGAGGTGCTTTCGCTCTCTGCCTCTGCAACATTTTGGAGGAGGGTTTCCTGGAGATGAGGGTTCTAGGCTGCTAGGTTAATTTTATAGCCAGTTTTCCAGGCACCCTGAGCTCTAACCTGACCCATCAGTCCTGCTCGAGGGATGGATGGGGGTCTCTGTTATACTGCCACCCCACCACCTACTCCGACTTCTGATTGGCTCTACCCTCCTGCCCCCGAATGCTTCCCTCCAGTGATTTATGGCCCTCAGGGCCTCCAGTATGTTGACCTGGCTCAGCCCTTCAGCCCCCCAGCTCTTCCCAGGTGCTTTGTGTTCTACTGAGACCTCTCAAGCCTCCTGGGGAGTGGATGCCAGTAGGATTCTGGTTGATGGGGGCTGAGGAGCAGTAGACAGTGATGAGGAGCAGAGCCTGAAGGGCATCACAAACTAGAGAGAGGAAGGAGGGAATCAAGCTGGAGGGGTGTGCGCAGGTGAGTTTTGCTTGCAGCCTTGTAGCCAGGAGAAAGATTCCATCCAGAGGGTAGAGGAAGAGCCCAAGGACAGTCCCTTTCTGCCCCTGTCACTTCTTCCTCTTGCTACACTTGCTCCAGCTGTGTTAATGCCAAAGCCCACCCCTCCCCTGCTTCATTCCCAACCTTGAACTTGAGTGTTTGACTTGGAACAGGAGGACAGAGGCTTACATGGGCCATTGAAAGCCCAGGTTCCCACCTGAGCCCCGCCTCCCAAGCCTGGCCAGACTCCTGGCACCGTCCACTTCCACCCCCTCCCAACCCTCTGTACTTGGCTGCTTGTCTTCAATGTACCCATCATGCCTCTTTCCCAGAAAAACCACCCAGAGACCAAGCATCTCTGGAGACTGAAAGAGACATCCTGCACTCAGGTCCTGTCGGTCGATCTTTTTATCTTGCACTCTGCATTCTGATTCAAGAGACTGAAGACAGCCAGGAGCTTCAGCTATGGCCCTCTTCATTCTTTTGTGTAGTGTTCTGCTGATGGCCATGGGTGAAGGTGGTGCTGGGAGTAAGGAAGGAGTAGGGAAGGAATGTAAACCCAGCTGCCCCTCCGTATCTCCCAGTGCCCAGCCCTGGACACACCATGGCCAGAGCCAGCTGTTTGCAGACCTGAGCCAAGAAGAGCTGGTGGCTGTGATGAGCTTTCTGGCCCAGAAGCTGGGGCCAGACC